CGTATCGGGCAGCACACTTTAAAACTGCTGCAGAAAGTCATGCCACATGACAGCAGAACCAATTACTGAACCAATTACTGCATGTGATGCAGTGTGAGCACATGCTAATAATTGGTGGAACATTGTTTATGAGCAGTGATTCTTGGATTTAAATATGTAAACTATAGTTGTAGATATGTAATATTTATTTATGTTGCTGAAATTACTACAGTGTTTTTTCCAACATATGGCTGATTTGTTAAAAATAACAGTGAGTTAATAACAAAAAAATAAACTGTTAAACATAAGCAAATCTTGGTTAAAAGTTTTTTGAAATTACACAGGGTGTTAATTTTCACGTATGACGTACGAACCAGAATTTTGTTCATTAAATCCAAAGTTCATTAAATCGAGGTGTGCAAAATCAAAGGTTTTCTGTATTCTGTGCATTTTGGTTTTTAATTCTCATCTAGGTCGATGTTAGCAGTATTGACCCTAGACATTTAAACGCTAACATACTCCTCTTCAAAGTTTTAAGTAAGGAGAACCTTGGGTCTTGGACTTAATTTGTTCTGGAAGCCTGTTTGAAAACAAACATTTTTTCCTATTAGAAATAATGTAAATTGAATTAATCTGTTCCAGACCCCCAATGACTCCCTGTTTTAACCTTTTTTTTTTTTTTAATCCTCACCCAAGGACACTTTCCCATATTTTGTTCAGATGGAGTGGGAGGCGGGGAGAAAGAGAGAGGGAGAAACATCGACGTGAAAAGGACACATCGAGTGGTTGCCACTCGCATGACCCAACCAGGGCCAAGGACAAACTGCAACCGAGGTATGTGCCCTTAGTGGGAACGAACCCTGATCTCTCTGGACCACAGGCCGACACTCTAACCGCTGAGCCAGACCAGCCAGGGCATTAACCTTTCTTGTATACAGTACATGTATAATGTACTGTTTAATCTGTAAATATTTTAAAAACAAAAAGGACACGAAATGTAAATTTAATAAAAAGGAAATGAAATTTACAGTAAAAAATGAAAATTTAATAATAATAAGTAGCAAAAAAGCATGAAAAAATTCACAGCACAATTTCCTGAGATGTTAATAGCAGTAAACAGACTCATTCTTGCACATTCTTTCCGTTGTTGCCTGAGAGACACAAGACTGATCATACAGGTATCAGCATGAAAGGGTTGTTGGATTGAGAAGCAAATTGTTTGAGATGGGAGACGTTTGAGAGCCGAGGTTTGACTGTATTCTGTTGTGTTATTGACTTAGTCTTATTGGCAGTGCACTATCTAAGGTTGGTAGGCCTCTGCATAACTTACGACCCCCTTTTTCTTTGTTCTTTTCTTTCACTCTTCCCTTGTTTCTTTCCTTAATTTAAAAGGATTTTTCTGTTACAGACCATCCTTTCTAATCCTTCAGTGAAGTTAATTGTCTTTTGCTAAAAATGGAAATGTGGCCCTGGCCAGTTGTTCAGTGGTTAGAGCATTGGCCTGCGGAACAGAGAGTTTAAGTTCAATTCTGGTGAAGGGCATGCACCTTGGTTGCCATTCGATTCCTGGCCCTGGTTGGGATTGTGTGGGAGGCAACCAGTCAATGTGTCTCTCTTACATGGGTGTCTGCCCCCCCCCTCACCCCATCTGAAAAATCAATGGAAAAACATCCTCGGGTGTGAATATTTAAAAAAAAAAAAAAGGAAAATGTGTTAAATGCAACATTTCAAGTTAGGTTCCATAAAAGATAAAAGTAAAGGGTGGGGAGAATATTTAGATACATATTTGAATTTGGCCACTATTATATCTCAAGTAAACTAGCCACTTCCATCACCTGTTAAATTAAAGCAAGGATCAATGTTTACTTAACTAGATAGAGCAGAATTAATGCCAGAGAGAGAACTTTGGAAAGTTTTTCTGTAAAGGGGTACAGGTGCAGAGTTTACGCTAAAATATAGGGCTCTGGAACTCCTGAGTACTTTCCAGCTGTGGTACATTATGAGTTTTTACAGACTGTTTGTTTTGCATTCTTATGTGTGTCACAGGAACTAACATTAGTTATCTGAATTGACAGGTGCAAGAACATTTAACTGTTGATGTGTAGTTGAACTCGGGGGATGGGGGAAGGAGGAGAAGCTTGCTTTTATCATGTATCTGTTAACATTGATAGGACATACTGTTTCATTCAGCAGCAATTCTTTTGCTGGGGATCTCAGTATGGTGTTAAGAATTGAAAATCTGGCCCTGGCCGGTTTGGCTCAGCGGTTAGAGCGTTGGCCTGCGGTCCGGAGAGACCCGGGTTTGCTTCCTGCTAAGGGCACGTACCTCGGTTGCAGTTTGTCCCCGGCCCTGGTTGGGTTGTGCGGGTGGCAGCCACTCGATGTGTCCCTTTCACGTCGATGTTTCTCTCTCTCTCCCTTCCACTCTATCTGAGCAAAAAAATGTCCTAAATGTCCTCGGATGAGGATTAAAAAAAAAAAAAAAAAGGTATTGAAAATCTAATGAATTATCCTTATCCCTGTAAGTGGTCCGGAGGTTGGGAGGAATAAGATGGGATAAAGCTTGCTCTGTTTGCTGAACAGACAAACACTGGAGACGAGGTAGAAAACAATGTAGAGCTGTAACTTTTTAAGCCTGGCCATCACTACAATGCAGGTCTTTCAGTGCCTTTACTCAGCTGACACACAAATTAGCTGCGATAACATCATTAAACCAAAGGGATTCAAGCAGGTTAGAATTTCCTTGTGTTTTGCTCTGCACTGCATGCAAACCATTGTTCTTTGATTAGTTACCCTATTCATTTTTTCTCCCTTTATTATAAGGTCACAGAGTTGCAGATGAACATCCAAGCAAATATTTGAAAAGTTACACTTACATGAAAAAGATTATGACTTAAATAGGGGTACCTCCATTAATCAAAATGGAAGGAAAAATAAATAGGGAGTTAGACTTGGGCTTATGTCCTTGATCTGCCTGTCGTTTTAATTTCTCTGGATCCTAAACCTCTTTTTTTTCTCCAAAAGGTCAGAGTAGTTGACCACTTAAGTTTCTTCTAGCTTTGACATTCCTTGACTGTACAAGGAGTACTCTCTGAAATGTGTAATCTTAAAGTGGCTGTGTTTTGGAGTTACAGTTAGAATTATGAGTTAGGAAGAGTGGTGGTGTGTATTTTTGTTTTTCTTAGTTTGAGTGTAGAAGTTTTGCGTTTTTACTATAGTGGGTAACTCTTTCTGCTGAGGTGTTGAAGTTCTCAGAATGCCATTTTGAATTTCTTATCTGTCTTTCATATCTTAGGAATGTTTTAGTTTTGTGCTTGTGTCCATGGTGTCCAAGTAAGTAGCTTAAAAATAAAATGCCATAAGAATATCATTAAAAGAAGACTTGAGGATAGATGAATAGGCTTGAAAGTTTTAAGTCTGGGTTCTTTTTAATCTATATTTCATTTTCTTCCTGAAAATGGCTCTGTAGTCATTATCTTTTATGTCTTTTTCTGTCTAATCACAATTACCTTTTTTAGAGACTTCTAAAAAAGCATTTATTGGGGGCTTAAGAAAGAGGCAAGTAAAAGAACTTGACTTTGTCTCTATTTCCAGAGGAAATTATGATTATGTTGACACTCTAACTGAGCCAGCTATAAAGGTTACTATATTTCAAAGCAGCAGGCCTAAAATAATGTTAAAATTCTGCCACTTCTCTTTCTTGCCTTGTTTTTGGTAGGAATTAATATTTGGGCAGGAGAATGCTGTGTGAATCATTGAACATTAAATGCTTTTGTACTTTAGAGGTAGTGATGTGAGAAATAGTAAAAAGGTAATCTGGACTAGAAAATGAGAGGATGGGATTTGCACATTGGTTGAGTCAGCCACATTATGGTACATTGGAAAAAACACAGAATTAACAGAAGACTTGGGTTAGAATTTAGGTTCAACTAATGCATTTACCTTAGATAAGTCACTTCACTTTCCTGAACTTCTTTCCTCATTCCTCATAGGTAGTAACAACTACTCAGAGTTGTGAGGAAAAGAAGATAATTTTTTGAAAGAAGTGTTTTATGGACTAGTATCCTAATTGGGGGCCAGTGCCTATATTTTGGATAGAAAAAATTAAATCCTCAAAGTGGAATTTTGGTAAATATCTTCCATCCATTTACAGATTTATTTTAAACTAAGAGTATATGTGAAAGATTTAACCATCAAAGCAGAAAAAGAAGATTGTTGTGAATTTTATGAAGAGTCAATGGAGGGAAGGTTTCTTTAAGGATCTTTTAATCATTTAAAAATGACTTGAGGCCCTGGCTGGTGTGGCTCAGATGGTTGAGTGTTGTCCCATGTACAAGAGGTGGCTGGTTTGATTCCCTGTCAGGCCACATACCTGATTTACAGCTTGATCCTCAGTAGGAGGGGTTGTGCAGAAGGCAGCCAATCCATGTTTCGCTCTCTCCCTCTCCCTTCCTCTCTCTCAAATTAATAAAAATATATTTAAAATAAAAAAGTGAATTGAATTAAAAAATAATCTTGTTAGCACAGAAACTTTGCTTCTTGGATCCTGTTTTGAAAAAAGAAAGACATACTTGACTTTAGAGTCTCTGGCTTTTAAAACTCTTGGTATACATTTTTATTCTGTTGTTTTTTAATTCTCACCTGAGGACATTTTTCTGTTTATCATCATATAGAGTAGGGGAGAGAATGAGAGGGAGAGAGGAGAGAGAGAAACATCGATGTGAGAGGGACACTAGACTGGCTGCCTCCTGCACGACTCGACCAGGGCTGGGGACTAACCACAACTGAGTTACATGCCCTTGACCGGAATCTAACCCGCGACTCATTGGTTCACCAGCCAGTGCTCTAACTGCTGAGCCAAACCGGCCAGGGCTGTCGTGTTCTTTATAGGTAGCAATAATTTAGAATTGGTGACATTTCAGATGTCTTTGGGCTCATAAAGAATATATTATTGACTTTGAGCATTATGTTTATGACGTTATCGACCTCCAGTTCATTTCACTTATGCTTTTCTCTTCCAGGTTTTTCGTTGGAATATACGTTGCACATTTATGGCGATTCTGAGTGTGAGGGCAGACTTCTGCCAGGCTCAGCACAGCGTTTTTGCTGACAAGTGAGCTTGGGGGTTCTATGTGCCATAATTAACATTGCCTTGAAGACTCTGGACACCGAGACTGGCCTCAGAAATAGTTGGCTTTTTAAAATTTTATTGCAAGCATATTTCTTTTAATGACTCCAGTAAAATTAAGCATCAAGTAAACAAAAGTGGAAAGTGATCTACACTTTTAACTTGTTTCACTAGTGCCTAAATGTAGTAAAGGCTGCTTAAGTTTTGTATGTAGTTGGATTTTTTTGGAGTCCGAAGGTATCCATCTGCAGACATTGAGGCCCAAGTTGAATTTGGATTCAAGTGGATTCTGAATACTTCTGCTTATCTTGAAGAGAGAAGCTTCTTAAAGAATAAACAAGTTGAATAGAGAAAACACTGATTGATAATAGGCATTTTAGTGGTCTTTTTAATGTTTTCTGCTGTGAAACATTTCAAGATTTATTGATTTTTTTTGTTTTCATTGTCCCCATCACACTCACATACGCACGCTCACACTTTTTATTTGCCATAATGAACCGTCCAGCCCCTGTGGAGATCTCCTATGAGAACATGCGTTTTCTGATAACTCACAACCCTACCAATGCTACTCTCAACAAGTTCACAGAGGTAAGATTTCTAGCATGGTATACTTTTTGAAGTGTAGGTAAAATCTCATTAAAATTAACACCATTATAAAGAAATCTCTTATCACAAAGCTATTTTCATGTTTGAAATGTGGATGGTTATCCTACCAATCTTTTGAAATGGGTTGGATTAATTATAGCAGATTTTTAAAAGAACATTATGGAATTTTGGGAGACTTTAGAGATTATCCAGTACTGTGTTTTTTTCTTATATCTTTTCTACATTATTAGCAGTTCTTTGATCATACTTTCAATAATAAAAATAATAAACATTTATTGAACACTTTGTACCCAGCATTACAATAAATGTCTTTTTTTTTTTTTAATCCTCACCTGAGGATATTTTTCCATTTTTGTTCAGATAGAGTGGGAGGGAGGGAGAGAGAGAGAGAGACATCGACTGGCTGCCTCCTGCACGACCTCGACCAGGTTGGGGATGAACCACAACCGAGGTATGTGCCCTTGACTGGAATTGAACCTGCAGCTCTTTGGTCTGCAGGCTGACACTCTGACCCAGTGGTTCTCAACCTTCCTAATGCCATGACCCTTTAATACAGTTCCCCATGTTGTATGTGGGCGTATCTGCATGTGGACGGACCCGACTGGAGACCGATAGAGGAGTGGTATCTTAGTTCCTAAGACCATCGGAAATATGTGTTTTCTGATGGTCTTAGGCGACCCCTGTGAAAGGGTTGTTCGACCCCCAAAGGGGTTGCGACTCACAGGTTGAGAACCACTGCTGACCACTGAGCCAGACTGGTCAGGGCACAATAAACAGTTTTATGTAGTATATCATTTACTCCTCAAAATAACCCTTTAAGGTATAGGTACCATTATTACCTCCCTCTTACAGATGAGGAAACTGAAATTCAGAGCCATTTAGTAATTTGCCTGAAGGCACACAGTACGCGGTAGAACTGTCTCTGACATTAAAACCCATGTCTTCTTCAAATATTCTACCTCAAATATTTTAACCACTTTTTTTTTTTTTTATCCTCACCCAAGGACATTTTTTCATTTTTTGTTCGGATAGAGCAGGAGGGAGAGAGAGGAAGAGATATATAGAGAGAAACATTGATGTGAAAGGTACACATCAAGTGGTTGCCACCCTCATGACCCAACCAGGTCCGGGGTCAAACTACAACCGAGGTACATGCCCTCAGCGGGAACCGAACCTGGGTCTCTCTCGACCGTAGGTGGATGCTCTAACCGCTGAGCCAAACTGGCCAGGGCTCTAACCACTTTTGATGAAAAGCTACCCCAGAACTACTTGCAATAGTAACCATCATATACAAGGGTTCAGACACTAAGGGGAAGGAAAGGTATTACAGCTAGCATTTTTGTCAGATCCTTCATTTTTTTCTATTGTTAGTAGTGGAGAAACTCTACTTCATTCAACAAATATTTGAATGTAAGCTTTTATTTATTTATTTATTTATTTATTTATTTATTTATTTTTTAATCCTCAACCGAGGACATTTTTCCATTTTTTGTTCAGATAGAGCAGGAGGGAGAGAGAGGAAGAGAGAGAGAGAGAAACATCGATGTGAAGGGACACATCGAGTGGCTGCTACCCGCACGACCAACCAGGGCCGGGGACAAACTGCAATCGAGGTACGTGCCCTTAGCGGGAACCGAACCCGGGTCTCTCTGCACCGCAGGCCGACGCTCCAACCGCTGAGCCAAACCGGCCAGGGCTGAATGTAAGCTTTTTAATCATTGCCTGGTTGTTCAGTCTGAATGTGATTTCTATTGATGTAATTTATAGAGTAGACTTGGAGAGCTGGATGAACTCCTAGGGATTCAAATCTATCCCTCTCATTTCACAGAAGGCAAGTGGAGTTCAAAAGAGGTTTTGACTTGCTTAAGGCCACCATAACCTTTCAATGAACGGCTACTATGAAGTTCATTTCAATGGGATTTTATTTTGTATTTTGAAATTTATAATTCCCGACTTAATATAATACTTAACAACTTTTCTGAACATGTTTTATAAGAAGGCCTTTTTGTGAAAAATACGTCTTTAGCAATTAAAATAACTTTACTCTTTAGATAACCAAATGATGGACATTTCTTGTAGGATATCACTGTTCTGCTTATTTATACTTAGTAAGTCCTGAGCTTCTTAACTTTGTGTGCACAGTATACAAGTTGATTCCAGGCTTGTGTCCCCTTAGGTTGTTCAGTCACCTTTAAGCCTGGCTGAATTATGCGATACTATTTTCAGCCTGTGGATTCCTTCGCCATAGATTCCAAAAGTGGCAGAAGTCACTGTCTTCTTGCAATTATAAAAAGATGTTGGTGGTCCCTTGAAGATGGGTAGCCACTGGATTAGGCATTATTGTAGGAAAGTTTTTAAAGGAGCAAGGCTTCTGACTATAATTATTTGTGTGTTAGTTGGCTTTGTAATATAATACCACTTTTTAATCTTAATTTCAAAGTAACTTTTGTTTCTTTAAATTAAAAAAAGCAATTAGTATTTACTACATAAAAATCAGAAGATATGGAAAAGGAAAAGACAGTTTAAAAATTAATACTTAACTATTAATACTTGGCTTCTAGATGTTCTTTCTCTGTCTATATATACATATATACACATACATACATATAGATAGGTGACATTGTATATTAAAAAATAAATCTTCCCCCAACCTCCTTAGTATTATATATATATATATTTTTTTTATCCTCACCCGAGGATATTTTTCCATTTTTTGTACAGATAGAATGGGAGGGAGAGAGAGGAAGGGAGAGAGAGTGAGAAACATCGACGTGAAGGGACACATCGAGTGGCTGCCACCTGTACGACCAACCAGGGCCGGGGACAAACTGCAACCGAAGTACCTGCCCTTAGCGGGAACCGAACCCGGGTCTCTCCGGACCGCAGGCCAACGCTCTAACCGCTGAGCCAAACTGGCCAGGGCAGTATTATATTTTTTATAGCTGTCATAATATTCTGTTTGGATGGCTCATACTTTCTTTAACCATTTCCCTGTTTGGACCATTAATGTTGTTTCCAGGTTTTTACCATTCCAAAGAGTGCTGAATATGCTGGCACCTAAATCTTTGTGTATCTTTAATTATTTTGTTAGTAAAAATTCCTAGAAGTTGAATTTCTAGGTCAAAGTATATGTTTTCTTTTAGAGTTTTTGTGTTACGCTACTAAATTGCCCCTTTTAAAGGTGAGTCTTATTGATACTGCTACTGAGAATGCAAAGTGTGTCCATTCTATATGTTGTCACAATGAGAATGATTTTGATTTTTGTTGAAGAATGATGTCTCATTGTTTAAATGTAAAATAGTACAAATTTAAAACTTTTAAATTTAAAGCTTTGCAGATTCTAAAAGCAATTCCCTTATATTTGTTTTTCTTTAAAGGAACTTAAGAAGTATGGAGTGACAACTTTGGTTCGAGTTTGTGATGCGACATATGATAAAGCTCCAGTTGAAAAAGAAGGAATCCACGTTCTAGTGAGTGTGTAGTGTTTTAATTTTTCATTACAAACAAGTTGTACCTGCCCTGGCCGGTTTGGCTCAGCGGTTAGAGCGTTGGCCTGCGGTCCCGAGAGACCCGGGTTCGGTTCCCGCTAAGGGCATGTACCTCAGTTGCAGTTTGTCCCCGGCCCTGGTTGGTCGTGCGGGTGGCAGCCACTCGATGTGTCCCTTTCACATCGATGTTTCTCTCTCTCTCCCTCTCTCCCCCTCCCACTCTGCCTGAACAAAAAATAGAAAAATGTCCTCAGGTGAGGATTAAAAATAAATAAATAAATAAATAAAAACAAACAAGTTGTACCTTTCAGACATAGATATTTATAAAACTTGGCACTTAGTAGTTTTGCTTTTGGAGCTTATACTAGGAGAATACAGTGTTCATAGCAACATTTAAATTCTTTTGGATTGGCAGTATTGTTCATTTGAGCCCTTAAAGTCTACACTTGCAGCGTATTTTCAATAAATAAAAGGGAAATTTTAGTGAACACTTATTTTAACAAAATGGAAATTTGCATTTTATCTTTTCTACGAAATTAATGCAATAGTTGGCTTTTGTTTCTAGGCTACCCATTTTAATATAACTGAAAGTAATTTCCATCAGACATTCTTAAGTCACAGGGAAATATTCTTTCTCACTTTGCAAGAACAAATTAGTTACTTAATATTTTGTGGTTAACTTGTAGCAGACAACAAGGTGGGAGAAAAGAATAAAAAGGGAGAAAAGAATGCATCTTGCTCCACAGTTATCAGCATAGTTTCTAATATATTTTTAGGTTTCTAAGAAGCTTTTGTGTGATTAGAACTATTCTTTCAGAGTTAAATTTGGAAAAAAAAGTGATTGGAATTATTTTAAATTAAAATCCTCCCTAGCCCCTATATATGCTATTTTATTATAGAAAACAGGAGCCTCAGATTAGGTAAAATTGTATACCTTCTTCCCTAAACAGTTGTCTAAATTTCTAAATTGCAGGAGCATGTAATGAAATGACCTTGTAGTCTTGGGTGTTTTAGAGCTATTTGATTTTATTGTGGGAAGGCAGTGAAGTAGGATGAGAACTGGAGATTTTTTAAAGTAGCTGATGAGGAAGAAAATAATAAAGAAGATATTGGTACAAGGTTATATTCCTACTTTTTATTGAGAGGTAGTTCTGTAGTCTTTATTGCATAGCTGGGAAGGCTGTTTATGCAAAGAAAATACATTTTGATGGTAAGGAGTTTCCTCACCTTCATTTTGGTGAAAATAGAAAAACTAAATAGCTAAGCATTTAATGTTTTTAAAACATACTATGGTCCTGGTCGGTTTTGCTCAGTGGCCCTCGGACTGAATGGTTGCAAGTTTGATTCCCAGCCCTGGTTGGGGTTGTGCAGGAGACAACCAATCAATGTGTCTTTCTCACATAGATGTTTCTCTCTTTCCCTCCTTCCCTCACTTCCTTCTACTCTGTGTTTTCTTTTTTTTTTTTTTTTTTCTTTATTGATTTTTGAGAGAGGAAGGGAAAGGGAGAGAGAGACATTGATGAGAGAGAACTTCGATTGGGTGCCTCTGCATGACACCAGTGGGGATTAGGCCCACAACCTGGGCATGTGCCCTGACAGGGAATCAAACCGGTGCCCTCTTGGTGAATGGGTCGACGCTTAACCACTGAACCACACTGGTTGGGCCCTTCTACTCTAAAAGATTATTGGAAAAATATTCTCCGGTGAGGATTAACCAAAAAAAAAACAACAACAACAACAAAAACGTACTATGTATTCAAATGTATTTTGAATAGTATGGCATGGTAGTAATTTGCTTGCATTCTCATTTCTAAATGAATAAGTTCTCCTTGCTGGAAATCACTGGGGATAAGTATAAACATATGTAAAATGTAGCCCTGTGTTTAAAAACACAAAACAAAACAAAAAAAAATTAAATTCTGATGTAGCTCTGTGTTTGAATAAACAAAACAAAATTTTAACTTCTGAAGCTAGGATGAATTACAAGTTTTTTCCCTGTGAGTACAGTGGTCCCCCCTTATCTGTGTGGTTTTGCTTTCTACGGTTTCAGTTACCTTGCAGGGTCAACCATGATCTTAAATTATTAAGTGGAAAATTCCAGAAATAAACAATTGATAAATTTTAAATTGTGCGCTGTTCTGACTAATGTGATGAAATCTCGCTTTGTCCCACCCAGGATGTGAATCCTCTCTTTTTTTTTTTTTTTTTAATCCTCACCCGAGGATATTTTTCCATTTTTTGTACAGATAGAGTGGGAGGGAGAGAGAGGAAGTGAGAGAGAGAGAGAAACATCGACGTGAAGGAACACATCGAGTGGCTGCCACCCGCACGACCAACCAGGGCCGGGGACAAACTGCAACCGAAGTACGCGCCCTTAGCGGGAACCGAACCCGGGTCTCTCTGGACCGCAGGCCGACGCTCTAACCGCTGAGCCAAACTGGCCAGGGCCCTGAATCCTCTCTTTGTCCAGCATATCTGTGCTGTATATGCTCCCCACCATTAGTCACTTAGTAGCCACCTCAGTTATCAGGCTGATTGTCATGGTATGGCAGTGCTTGTGTTCTGGTAACCCTTATTTTACTTAAAATGACTTCAAAGTTCAAGAGTAGTGACACTGGCAATTCAGGTATGCCAAAGAGAAGCTGGAAAGTGCTTTTTTTTTTTTTTTTTTTTTTTTTTTTAATCCTCATCCAAGGACACTTTTGCATTTATCTTCGGAGAGAGTGGGGGAGAGAGAGAGAAACATCGAGTGGCTGCCACTTACAGGACTGCAACTGAGGTACATGCTCTTAGCGGGAACCGAACCCAGGACTCTGGTCTGCGGGCCGACACTCTAACCGCTGAGCAAAACTGGCCAGGGCTGGGAAGTGCTTCTTTTAAGTGAAAAGCAAAAGTTCTCAACTCAAGAAGGAAAGAAAAATATGCTGAGGTTGCTATGATAATGGTAGGAATGAGTCTTCTATCTGTGAAATTGTGAAGGAAAAATAAATTAGTTTTGCTGTTGCACCTTAGACTGCAAAAGTTACGACCACAGTGCACGATAAGTGCTTAGTTAAGATGGAAGGCATTAAATTGTGGTTGGAAGACATGAACAGGAAATGTATTCCAATTGACGGCAAAATGTTGCACCAGAAAGCATTAAGCCTATAGCAACACTTCAGCAAGGGATCCCCTGAAACAAGTAACACCAAACAAGTAAGAGATGGTTACACAGATTCAGGAATAGGTTTAGACTGAAAAATGTAAAAAGTACTGGCGAGAGAGAGACACCACATAACTTTTATTATAGTATATTATAGTTCTATTATTAGTTATTGTTAATTTTTTACTGTGTCTAATTTATAAATTAAACTTTAACATAGGTTTGTACATGTAGGAAAAAACATAGCATATATAGGGTTCTGTACTATCTGTGGTTTCAGGTATCCACTGGGGGTCTTGGAATATATTGCCTGTGGATAAGGGAGGGCTACCGTTTATTCTCCAGTGGGTAGATGAGAAATCAGTTTATTTTGACAATAGGCAGGGTGAGAAAATGAACTGTGGATTGACTAGTCTGTTTGACTCAGTAATGTTGATAAACATCTTTATGAAATAGAAATAAACTAAAGAACACAAACTAGTTTGTAGAAGATGCTGGTAGGTCTGGGATTTATTCCAGGTCTTTAAATCTGGGCTTTTGTTTTAAATAGCTATGATTAAATAAGATTAAAGGGCTAACTTAAACTTGAAAAAACAAGGAAATTTAAAATTAAGCTTGGGATTTCTTTCATTTTTCTCAGACAGATTTTAAGATGGATTGTTAATTTACTTTTGCCAGGTGAAGAGTGTTTGGGACACTGTATGAGAGAATATCCCCAAAATAAGACCTTTCAGTCCTCTGACTAATGCTCTTACAAATCAGAGGCACATTGAAAAAGACTAATGGTGGTTTCAGCTATGTCCATTTGAAGTTCAGATGCTTCTAAATTATTACTTTAATGATTTTTTAAATAGAAACTGCTTATATGAGTAAGTGAAGCATGTTTTGTGTTATAGTTTCTTAACTAGGTGCATTTTATGGAGTATTAGAGGAAGTAAACTCTCATATAAAGTACTTACTGGTTTTACTGCTATTTACAGTTAAACTGTAGTGACATAATGATAACACTGACAGCTCTTTAATTATGGGGTGTAGTTGACAAATCAAACATAATGTACTGTCATGGCTAATGGGCTACATGAAATGTTTTAGTGGTGCCAATAATGAGTGCAGAATCAATTTAATGCTGTGTCACTTTCTCTTTTTCCTTCTCTAGTATCTTAAAGTGTCCTTATCCAATTTCATTAGAATAGTCCTATGTTAAAAAAAAAATCCCAGTGTTTTTACATTTCTGTCTTTGAAGCTAGATGGAAAAGAGGGTATGTAAAATGTGAGTACCCCTTTCTTCCTTTCTTCTAAGCTGATTTGTGTTTGCTTCTTAGAACCTCTTGCAAGGTAGCAAGGAAGATAAACACCTACCTGTTTTTTAATTAAGACCAACCCACGCACATGGATATTTGACGAATATAAAAAGAGAAAGGGATACTAGAGAAAAGGGTCCCCATTTGATTATGGAACCTATTATGTGGCACTGTGCTTGTTCAATGAGATGTATAATTTAGACAGAGCTTTAAAAATATTTGTTGCTTGGCATTTTAAAAGAAATACAAGCAGAAAGATGATAGTATGTTTCTGTTATATGCTAACTATTGGAGATTTCTTATCAGACAGCCTTTCTCTAAAGAAGAGTCATCATATCTTAGAACTATTAGGGAGATGACCCTCACAAATGTTTGTAGAGACCAATAAAATACCAGTTGTTGATATACTTCTGTGCCAGAGTGGACTTCAAAATCATATCAACAAGTGTTATATTTTTTCTTACTTTGTCTTGGCTTTATTTTTATTTTTTTTATCCTCACCTGAGGACATTTTTGCATTTATCTTCAGATAGAGTGGGAGGAAGAAAGGGAGAGAACCATCGATGTGAGAGAGACATCGACTGGTTGCCAAAACACACAACCCCAACCGGGGCCAGGGACAAACCATAACTGAGGTACATGCCCTTAGTGGGAACCGAACTTGGGTCTCTCTGGTCTGCAGGCCAATGTTCTAACCGTTGAGCCAAACTGGCCAGGGTGTCTTGGCTTTAAATATAGTTTTCTCTATGTCTGTTACTGATCTGTTCAGATAAAATATTTGAGGAACACTAATTTATTATCACTTTGATAAGAGATTTTCATTAGATAAAATTAGATGCTTACTATACTTTATTGAGGAGGCTAAATTATTTGACACACCTGAATTTCAATCTTGGATCATTTTTCAGCAGTGATCAGAATACTTTTTATTAAGAATGGGTATATATATTGTCCTGCCAGTGTGGCTCAGTGGATTGAGCGTCGTCCCATGGACTGAGAAGTCCTGGTTTGATTGCTGGTCAGGGCACATGCCCAGGTTTCGGACTCAGTCCCCAGTAGGGAGCATGCAGGAGGCAGCTAATCGATGTTTCTCTCTCACATCGATGTTTTTGTCTCTCCCTTCCTTTCTAAAAAAATCAATAAAAACATATTTAAAAAAAAAGATTGGTATATATGCTATAGTTAGTTAAATTAGGCCTGCTCTGTGTACTATGCAGCTATTCTGCATTGGGATGTTAATCCTGGAGAAAATATCAATTTAATGTAAAATATTTTTTCTCTTTCCAGGATTGGCCATTTGATGATGGCGCGCCACCCCCTAATCAGATAGTGGATGATTGGCTAAATCTATTAAAAACCAAATTTCGTGAAGAGCCAGGTTGCTGTGTTGCAGTGCATTGTGTTGCGGGATTGGGAAGGTAAGTTCTTACCCTTTCTTCTGTGAATTCATTATCAAATATTTCACTTTGGTAGAAATTTGCATTTATGCCTGGCCAGTGTGGCTCAGTGGTTGAGTGTCGACCCATGCACCAAGAGGTCTCCAGTTCTATTCCCGGTCAGGGCACATGGCCAGGTTGTAGGCCAAATCTCCAGTAGGGGGCATGCAGGAGGCAGCCAATCAATGGTCTCTCTCATCGATGTTTCTGTCTCTTTCTCCCTCTTCCTTCCTCTCTCTCTAAAATCAATAAAGAAAAAAAGAAAAGAAAGTAACTTGCATTTATTACACTAAATATTAAATTGTGAAAGGAAAGGAAATGAGAGCAAAAGCCGGTATGCAATTTCTCAGAGCTGCTTTTTGTGTTTCATTGGTTGTCTGATTCTGACGCCATACTAGATTAATGGGTGATGGTTCAGTTGTTTTGAAACTGACTTAATGTTATTATCTTATCTTGGAGCTAAAAATAGTCTTAATTCAGTATGTTTTCTTTACCTTCTCATTTCAAGTTAACCAAAGGTTCAGGTCTCTGAAATGGGAAACAAAATTTAAAAAATCTATACATCGTTAATTTTGGATTGAGATGTATGGGAGGTTAATAGGTGGAGGGAGAGCAGATGGCTGAACTTTAAACTCCTGAAAGGAGATGTGTGGAGAACAAAAATTAATTCTGATTTAAAAAAAAAAAAACTTTTCTCGAGCATTGCATGAACTGGTGTTGCAACACTCTCATCAACAATAGGTTAAATGTCAATTTATGATGTGTACTTTGACTCAAAACTTTAGACCAGGCATTGGTGACTCAGGCTCTTACCTTTACTTTAGCCCTTTTGTTTTCTGTTTTCCTTTTTTATAGTTCAGTAAAGTTTCTAAGTTTCAGTCCTTATCTTGAGGGGCAAAGGTAGTGTTATTAATTTGACTTGGATTAATTTAGGTAGTCCAAAGTCAGCGCCCTGTAATGGATTTAAAAAAACTTAATTTCTTTTGTTATGTTTAAAAATATATACTTATATAGAGACTGTTTCTAATTACCAATTCTGACACTCTCCTAGCTCACGAAAAGGATTTTATTTGAAGTCTAACATTTTTTTTAGTATTTGATTAGGAAATGATATTAAAATCTATTTGTAACAAAAATCAAAGACAATTTTGGTAACATGTGATCTGGGTTTTAAAAAATTCTTTAATTTCAGAGATGTGTGGATATTTACAAATGCGTGTCTCTCTGCAGGGCACCTGTGCTGGTTGCACTTGCTTTGATTGAATGTGGAATGAAGTATGAAGATGCAGTTCAGTTTATAAGACAGTGAGTATGAAGTTTTATTTTCAGAAACACAAAAAAGCAAGATTATACAAAAGGAAGGAATTATGGAAAGTATCCATTTGTAGTCTGGAATAATTTGCTGTCTTTGGCTTAAAATATCGTTTGTTTGAAGATATTAAAAAGAGCAAGTGATAAAGAGACTCATAAGACTACTGACTCTTAGATTTAAAGATTTTATAATTTAAGCAGCAAATGTGGACATTATAGAATATGGCCAGTATATGACTTGAATATCTAGGAATCTTTAAAATGAATAACTAGGTAGACGAGTCTTCGTGATCTTGTGTCTCTCTTAATGGATATCCAAAATAACTTTAAAATGCAACTGTCTATAACCAAGAGGCAAACCTGAATCTATGGAGGAGCAGTTAATCTCCTGGGACTCATAAGTGACCTTTTCAGGCAGAAATCAGGGTGGTAGTGTCCAGACAGAATCTTGGCATAAGTCTGGAGAAATGGGCCATGCTATTTTGCTGTCCAGAATTCTTGGACATTTATTTTCTTAGACTTTCCCTCTTTTCTTTAAAAAAGAAGAGAAAAGAAAACAAAAAAACCCCCGAAAGATTACTAATGACGGGGCATGAAATGAATGGTAGCAGCTCTAGGAAGGTAACATATTTCAAGGAATGCCATTTGTGCCCGCTGCTTCGTGTAAATACTCGGTCATGCATCCTAAATACTTGCTACCAATTCTGATTTAAAGAATATGTTAATCTAATTGGAAAGAGTATAGTCAGATGTTTCTGGATAAACCATTCTGATTTTTATTAAATGATTAATAGACTAATAAGAGTCAGCAAAGAAAATTTGTCTATTTATTTTGGAAGGCACAGAAAGTTTGTATTTAAACTTAAGAAGTGATGTTGTTTGAGAAATCTGTGGTGTTAGAATGGCCTTAGGCCATAAATAATGCATTTCAGTGAATTAGGCAGCTCTTTTTTTACATGATAAAGTTTGCCATTCTTGTATTTTCAGAAAAAGAAGGGGAGCATTCAATTCCAAACAGCTGCTTTACCTGGAGAAATACCGACCTAAGATGCGATTACGCTTCAGAGATACCAATGGGCATTGCTGTGTTCAGTAGAAAGAAATATAAACGAAGGCAGACTTGATTGTGGCATTTAGAGGGAACTCTTGGTACCTGGAAATGTGAATCTGGAATCTTAACTGTGTCATCAAAGTAGTGATGGATTCAGTACTCCTCAACCACTCTCCTAATGATTGGAAAAAAGCAAACAAAGAAATCCCTCTATAACATGAATAAAATGTTTAAGAAAAGAAAAAGAGAAAGAAAAAAGGGATTAATTCCATGGAGAATGGTTTTGCTCTTAGTGTTGGAGTTTGAATTTCTGCCAGGATTGAATTATTTCAGAATCTCCTGTCTTTTTTAACTTTTTCAAAATAGGTCTCTAAGGAAAACCAGCAGAACATTAGCCTGTGCAGAACCTTCTGTTTGGGGAGCACACTCTTCCATTATGCTTGGCACATAGATCTCCCTGTTGTGGAATTTTTTTTCTTTTTTCTTTATTTGGAGTTAGGGTTGGGAGCTACAATTTTACTCTCTTCTCTCCTTTTCCCTATCCCTCTTTTTTCCCTTGATACAAGTTGTAGATGGAATAGGAGAAGCCCCTGTTGCTATAGATGTGTGTGCAGTCTGGCAGCCTTAAGCCCACCTGGGCACTTTTAGAAAAAACAACAACAAAAAAAACAAAAAACACACAAAAAAAACAAAAAAAACCCACCCAAAAGCAGTGGCATATATGTTATATGATCCAGGTGGATTTTAGTCTTTACTGATGATGGGGTGTTCATGTTAGTTTCTTTCCTTGAGAATGCTATACAACATTAGGCAAATTAGCCAAGAGCCTTTTGTTTGGGTTTTTGTTTTGGTAAGTTAAAGTGGGGAAATGGCATTTTAAGAGGAGTCTCTTTTTTCAAAGAACTTAGCTGAGAGTCAAATTCTTCTCTTTTCCAACCAATGAAGCTAAGTGGGTATCACAGAAACTTTTGTTTTCTGAAGGGGGAGTACTCCGGTCCATCACTAGAGGTGTGTCCAGACAGAGAGTTAGCATACTTTCTACACCTTGTAGAATTGTGGGCTGTATGTAGCATTACTCTACTTTTCTGTCTAATGATGTCAGAGAATGAATGCTGGTAGTTTAAAATTTTTATTTTAGGACTTTTTGTGCTCTGAATTTTCAGGAACAGTCAGAGGAGTAGCAGCAAAGACACAATATTTTGGACTTGAGAAATGCCTGTTATGGGTATTTTCCAAACTGCCCCATATATATATGTACAGTTCAGTTTAACCACTGATTGCCTTGTTATTTTCTTACTAGGTTCTTTATGAGATAAAACCAACAATGCCTAGTGAGTGTGTGTCCACAGGCCTAACAGGGTAGGAAAGAGGTGTAGAACAGCCCAACCAGTAGCAAAAGGACTGTGTTGCTAGTGAAATTGGTGTAGTGTCATTTTTGCTGATTCTTTTTTGGGTTCAATATGCTGATCTAGAAAAACTGTTTTTCTGCTCTTTTGTGGAAGGCAGTTGTGACTAGGCTGTACTGACAAAGCAAGTTGAAGGACACCATCAGGGGCTCTTGCACTCTTCATTTAAATATTACACACTTTCTAGTGCTCTGCTTCTAAGGATTTGAATAAAGGCTTAGGGTCACCTTGTCCTGCTGGAATTTGCTATGCAGAGCCATGAACTTCCCATTTTGTTAGGATCAGCTAGACCAGTAGGAATGGACTGATGATACCTCAGAGGTTGGCTGGCTATGTGAACTGCCTATCTCCTATGCCGGAGTTGTTTTGCTCTTTAAATAAAAATCTGTAGATTCTCTCCTCCCCTATCCCAGAAAACAAAACAAAATAATGCTTTTTGGAATTGTTTCTAGGATTTTAAAGTGGAAAATGATGGTACTATCCAAAATTTTTTATTTCAGAATACAACAATAGATTCCTATTAACATAGAACCAAGATCAAAACAAATATTCTCTAAGCTCAGATAGATGGTCTAATGACTCCAAGGGTTTTGATCAATATCATAAACCTTTTTCCTTTGACATGCTCTGATTTTTGTTGTATGGGGGAGGGAGAGACAGAGAAACAGGTTGTGTGTGTGTGTGTGTGTGTGTGTGTGTGTGTATGTGTATGCGTGTATGCGCGCGTGCGCGCACAGTGTCCACCAGTATCAGTGCCTGCCTGAGTTAGGAAAATTACATTCCTAGTTCTGTATGAGGAGAAGGGTGTATAAAGCAACATGAAACATTAGCCCCCATTTTGTTTTAAATTGCTGACTAATGTTAATTATTCTCAGAACTGGATTTTCTTCCTCAAAATTAAGTTTTTTTTTATCTTTTGGATTTAATGAAGTATTGCTAGCTGAAGCCAGTTTGACATGGTGGGAGAGATGTCAGACTGATGAAAGGTGTGCAGCCTGATTTAAAACCAAACCCTGAACCCTTTTAAAGAACAATAAACATATTTTACATGCTCTTTGTTTGTGCATTTGTTCTCTACCCCCAGGTTCAGTTTCTTTTTGTTTTCTTTGTATTTTCAAGGCCTGATTTAGGTCCTGCTAATTACTGCAAAGAGGTGAAATAATTAGAGGTTGGGAAGTTCAAAGATTTTATGCTACCCAGGTGTTCAGTAGGGGCAGACTTACTGGGACACATCTGCTGCATGTTCTGGTTCAGTTTTTGGGCACAACACTAGGAATTCAGCATCTTGGCTTATTCCAAAGGACTGGTTTATACCACAGGTTTTGATAAAGCATTGTGACTTTTTACTTGAACTCTTAAAGAACTGAGGGAGGAGGAACTCTATATATCATAGGATTGGAGGTGGGAACTTTTTTTATACCATTGGTAAGCATTTCACCCATCCATTCAGATTACAAATTTATGTGCTCAAGTACCAAGAATGAAAAGTTAAGACACTGATCCCACTTTGGAGGACCTGTCTAGAAGAGGAGTTAGCTATGTCGACATAAACAGAGTAAGTGATTACAGTACTATGTGACTTATAATTCACTGATCCTTTCTCCTGTCTTTAATTTTCAACCTCATGTCTATTATCAAGCTTAGAGTCAGTGTCAGTCCCTAGTTAGTGACAGTCCCTCTTGGCTACACAGTTAAATTGCCTTACCCCATCTCTTGCTTCATTATATGGACTTGCCTGGCTCAGCTCCATTTTTGGTTTAGTTCAGTATGCCACCTCTGCACTTAGGCACTTGTGCAACTTAAATTGCTGACTGTCTCTGCAGTCATGACCTCTGTTTTTAAAGTAGACCTTTGTACCATCTGGCAATCCTACTACATTTGTCTATCGTACTCTCACTCTCCTTGAAAGCGCTTACATTTTACCATTTTTCCCATCCTCAGCCTCAGCTTATGACCTTTTTATTTTTATTTTTAAAGATAGAAACAGGGCCCGGCTGGTGTGGCTCAGTGGTTGAGTGTCGACCCATACACCAAGAGGTTGCCGGTTTGATTCCTGGTCAGGGTACATGCCCAGATTGTGGGCCTGATCCCCAGTGAGGGCATGCAGGAGGTGGCCAGTCGATGTTCTCTCTCATTGATGTTTCTGTCTCTTTCCCTCTCCCTTCCTCTTTCTCAAAATCAATAAAGAAAAAAAAAACAGGAAAATTTTCACAGGCTCCTACCATCACATCTACTTACCTATATATATCTGTGCTTGTATGATTTGTCTTTCTTTTGGTTGTAAAGAGACTGTGTTACCCTACTTAGGGCAAGCTCTTCTACTTGTACTAGATTCCATTCCTTACCTACTCAGTAGGCCCAGATTTAGCCATTCTTCTGTCCTGTTCATTTCCCTCTATTAGGTCATTCCCATCAGCCTATACACATGCTATTATTCTATATTAAAAGAATCTTTAACCCACATCCATCCCTTCAGATACCATCCCTTTATACCATCTCTGCTCTTTATAACAAAACTCAGTTATCTACCTATTCACTCTAGTTTTCTCTTGAACCCACTCCAATGAGAATTTTAACATCACTGAAACTGCCTATGTAAACATCAGAACCTCCATGGTACTTAATCCAATGGGCAGTTTTTCATTTTTTGTTCAGGTAGGTTGGGAGGCAGAGAGAGGAACACAGAGAGAGAGAGAGAGAGACATCGACGTGAAAGGGACACATCGAGTGGCTGCCACCCGCATGACTGACCAGGGCCGGGGACAAACTGCAACCGAGATACGCCCCCTTAGCGGGAACCGAACCCGGGGGGGCAGGCCGATGCTCTAACCACTGAGAAAACCGGCCAGGGCTTTTTTTTTTTATATATATATATTAAGCGTATGGCAGTCAGTCACTCATTTGTCCATTTACTGTGTAGGCAGAATAATGCCCCTCCCCCCAAGATGTTTACATTTTTAATCCCTGGCAAAAGGGACTTTGTGGCTGTCACTATGTTGAGGATCTTAAAATAAGATCATCCTGGGTTATCTGGGTGGGCCTGATATAATTGCATGGGTCTTTAAAAGCAGAGAATCTTGCCTGGCTGAAGTCAGGAGATGTGATTAGAGGAGAATGGTTGGAGAGGTGCAGTGTTGCTGACTTTGAAAGAGGAAGGGGCCTCTAGAACCTGGAAAAATCAAGGAAACATTCTTCCCTAGAGCCTCCAAAAGGGAAATCAGCCTGCCAACACCTTGATTTTAGTCTCATGTGGAGCTTCTACAGAACTGTAGGATAGTAAGTGTGTTTGTAAGCCACTAACAACAAATTTGTGTTAATTTATTACAACAGCAATAGAAAACTAATACAGATTTTTGCCTTCCAGGGCACCATACTCGAGTTTTTGACAAGTTTAGCAGCCACACCTCAGTGTGAGTTTCTGGTTCCTCGTTAGCTCCTCCACTTCTGCTCTATCTACTCAGACTTGATTTTCTGGACTCCAGACCCATTATCCAATATCTATTTGACATCTCTCATGGATGTCTCATAGTTCAAAGTTAACTTCAAGGCCTAGCACCCTATTTAAAATAGCCACCACCTCGCCATTGGCATGTTATGTCGCCCTGCTATGCTTTAATTTTCTCCATAGCACCACCATTTCAGACTTAAAAAATGTTTTTTAATTGAATTTATTAGTGTGACATTGGTTAATAAAGTTATATAGGTTTCATGTGTACAATTTTATAACACATCTGTATATTGTATTGTGTGTTCATCACCCCAAGTCAAATCTTCCATCACCATTTATCCACCCTTTATCCTTCTCTATCTCCCCCACCCCCCTTTCTTTGTGATAATCACCAGACTGTTATCTGTGTCTATAAGTTTTTTTCCTTTGCTTAATCCCTTCACATTTCACCCAGTCTTTCAGCCTCACTCCCCTCTGACAGCTGTCAGTCTGTTCTCTGTAACTATGAGAGTTTCTATTAGTTTATTTTGTTCATTAGATTCCATTTATAAGTGAAATCATATGGTACTTGTCTTTTTCTGTCAGACTTTTTATTGTCTCCATCAAAATAAGTTCCACAAGAGCAGTTTTGTTTTTTTCTTTCTGTTTTTTGTTCTTGTTGTTTTGTTCACTATATCTTCACCTAGAATGGTGCTTGATGTGTAGTAGGTGCTCAGTATATATTGAATGAATGAGCTGTAATAGAGGCATAAGTGATTGTACTATGGGGAAGGGAGTAATTAAACCCATGCTGGAGCATGTTAGGAAGTTCCACAGTGAACATATTTGATCTATGCTTTGAAGTGTGAGATAGAAAAGGCTGATGCTTGAGCTAGCACTTCACACCCACCAGGATGGCAAGGGTGTGGGGAAACTGGAATCCTTATACATTGCTGATGGCAATGTGGAGTGGTGGAGCTGCTTTTGATAACAGTTTGTCAGTTTCTCAAAAAGTTAAATATCCAGTATTCAATTTCTGATGTATACCTGAGAGAATTGAAAATGTTAGTGGTTGCCTGGGGTGGGGGTGGGAATAGGGAGTGACTGCTAATGGATATAGGGTTTCTTTTTGGGGTGATAAAAATGTCCTGGAATTAGTGGTGATGGTTATATGACTATGAATACTAAATGTCACTGGATTGTACACTTACAAATAAAGTTGATGTAGGGGAAATAAACTTCAGGCAGGAGAAAAAAGAAAAGAGTGAAAATTGAAAGTGCAAGCAAGGTACATTTGGGAGAAGTGGCATGATTGATCTCTGGAGGGTATGGATTTGTGCCAGGCAGGTTTGGTCGTCATTTGACTCTAGGCAGTATACTAGACATTCCTTCCTTGTGCCTCCCTTTCTACCCCCAAGGCCACAAATAATTGGGTCAGAGATAGACAGTTGGCTCAAAGCTAACCAGTGGTCAGGTTCTCAGCTTCAACTCAGGGAGTCTCTTAGATGTGAAGAGCCAATAGGGCCAGTGCCTGAGTAAACAGGACGGAGGGAAGAGGATGTAGCAGTGGCCTAGGGAAGTAAAGTGGAGACACTGGCCTGGGAGTAGGGGAGAAATGCTTTGACTCAAGCCAAATTCTGAGTTCCACTTTCTCCTGGGGTCCAGGTGTATGCTTCTCCTAGAGTCCTTTTAGTGGTGCCTGCTCCTTCCCTCGCCCCTTGTTTAAAGTAGTTTGAGCCCTGGCCGGTTTGGCTCAGCGGTTAGAGCGTCAGCCTGTGGTCCTGAGAGACCCAGGTTTGGTTCCCGCTAAGGGCGCATACCTCGGTTGCAGTTTGTCCCCGGCCCTGGTCGGTCGTGTGGGTGGCAGCCACTCGATGTGTTCCTTTTTTTTTTTTTTTTTTTTATCCTCACCCGAGGACATTTTTCCAATTTTTGTACAGATAGAGTGGGAGGGAGAGAGAGAGAGAAACATCGACGTGAAAGGGACACATCGAGTGGCTGCCACCCGCACGACCAACCAGGGCCGGGGACAAACTGCAACCAAGGTACGTGCCCTTAGCGGGAACCGAACCCGGGTCTCTCCAGACCGCAGGCCGACGCTCTAACCGCTGAGCCAGACCGGCCAGGGCTCGATGTGTTCCTTTAACATCAATGTTTCTCTCTCTCTCTGTTCCTCTCTCTCCCTCCAACTCTACCTGAACAAAAAAATGGGAAAATATCCTCGGGTGAGGATAAAAATATAAAAAAATAAATAAAGTAGTTTGAGTCATTTTCTTAACCAATAGAACTTCGATTTGGAGGGATTATACAAATAGCATGTGAAGTACTGTGACTAAAGTACCTATAAGAAGGGTGATGAGCCCTGGCTGGTTTGGCTCAGCGGTTAGTTGGCCTGCGGTCCTGAGAGACCCGGGTTCGGTTCCCGCTAAGGGTGCATACCTCGGTTGCAGTGTGTCCCTGGCCTTGGGTGAGTCATGCGGGTGGCAACCACTCAATGTGTCCCTTTCATGTCAGTCGATCTCTCTCTCTCTCTCTCTCTCTCTCTCTCTTTCTTTCTCTCTCTCTCTCTCTCCCCCTCCCCCCCTCTTCCTTTCTCTCCCTCCCACTCTATCTGAACAAAACATGGA